CTATGTCATAGCTGAAAATCATAAGTCAAACTTTTTGCAGGTTTCCCTGCTTTCTTGCTCTTTGTCTTTATGGAACAGTCATGAATAATAAATTGACTTAAATGATGATAAATGAAAAAGGAACTGAAATATAAGGAGTCTTTATAAACATAAACTGGAGATCAGTCTTTGGATACTAGTTGACTATTCTAAAATGTATTTTCCTGGCTTTAGATGATTCGCTAGGGAAATGATGGTTCTTAGAAAAACTTTAGTATTGTGTTCCAAAGCCATTTTCTACCCACTTTCTTTTAAAATATGTGTATTCAGGGCACACATTACTCTAGAAGCAACTGAGTTAAACTTCACTAAATATTTATGGAGAGATCCATGAACATGAGCCAGAGCATGGCGTAGTGGTTAAAGCAGTGGAATCCTACATGATTGACCATGTGGTTTGGGATCTGGACCCATCAGCTTGAAAAACACCTTGAGCACATGTACATGTGTGCCCCAAATCCCAAAGGAGCAATGGAGGAGAAGGGATTGGACCATTTCCCTTGGGGGCTGCTTTCTCACTTTCCCTCTCTCTCTCCAGTGAGCACAAGTGCTCTCTAGAAAATTAACCAAAAAGAAAAATAAAGAAATATAAGTAAATCTTAGAATTCTTTAAGAAAAAATAAATAGCAACAATCTTCTATTAAATTATCAATCTATGGAATGGTTATTAATCAAGTTGTATCTTACATGCTTTTTTCCATTTTAAATTTCGTTATGAAAACACCATGCAAATTCTTGCACACTGTAAAATGTAATAGCAATGTTAACAAAGTTAGCTCGTTTTCACTAAATTATTTGCATTATTTAATCATTTAAATATTAGCTGATAAGCCTTCACTATGTGACATATTTATTTGGAGTGTTTTCCACAGTCAAGCATCACCTTTTTTTTAATGAGTTTTTTTTTTTTCTTTATCTGTCTGAATATATCAACCACTTTCATCGGAATGAAAGAAACATCCATATGCCAGCAGAGTTAGTGACTTGTAAATTGACAGTTTGATTAACAGTGAAGAAAAAAAGAGTGTTATTACATTATATACCAGATGGGAAAAGAATTCACAGATTAGATAAATAAACTGTTATAATTCACTAAACAAATTCAAAATGTTTGATTTGGATAAAGTTAGAATTGTTTATACAGTTACAGGAATGTACATATGCATACTACAGTGATTTGTTATATAGGTTTAGTTAGAAAATAAATAATGCATGTGATAATGTTGCTTTCTGTGTCCAGCCAAAAAGTGAAAACGAGGATATTTAACTTAAATTTCTAGGCATCCAATACATAATAAAGCTGATCTATAAAAACACACCTATAGTTTGAAACTATTTTCTCTAAATTAAAATGAACAGATTCTGTTTTGTAATTGATTAGACAGAAAACTTTTTAGCAACAGCTTGAAATAGCTTCTTCATAATGTTAACTTCAGAAATGTGTAAAGGTGGGGACCAGCAAATGGCATAATGACTATGTTGCTGGACTCCCATGTAGTTGACCATGGTTTAAGTCCTGGACCTGGTGGCTTAAAACTCACTCCAGACATGTGTGTGTGTGCATGCCCAAGATCCTGAGAGAATGGAGCAGAAGGGATTGTGGCATGGCCATCCCCCCCTGGGGGTGATTTCTTGCTTTCTGTCTCTGTCTCTCTGTCTTTCTGGCAAGCATACCTGCTCTGTAGCAAAAACCTCTCAAAAAAAAAAAAAAAGCCAGTGAAAAGTTAATAAAAGTCATCAACAGCTTTTGATTCACTTAAATGAAGGTACATGGGGACAGTTTTGGATGTTCCAATGATGGGGAAGCACTATTGCCATTCAGTGGTTGAAAGCCAAGGATTTTAGGCAGTGTGGTAGGCAGTGTGAGGCAATGAGCTCTCCTCTTTCCTCCTTCCTCACCCTCGCTCCCTGAGACCCAGCTGCTAGGCAGTCTGGGCCTTGTGAATATCTCAGAACCACTTCCTCGTAGCTCAGTAGGCACGCCTTTTCCACATCAACATCCCAAGTTCAGAGTCACTAAATAAATGTATAAGCTCTGGTAATTCTGCTAATAGATAACCTGACCTTTCATTGGAATCTTCAAACAATGTATTTAGAAATTGGACCCCTGCCTTGGAGACAGGGAGTCTGTGCTCATCTTATATGGGATGCATGGCACTCTTCAAACGTAACATATTTAACCTGAGCTTGTGCTCAATGACGACATGGACCACTCTTCGCCCGGCCACCAGTGGAGCATCCTGTTCTGCTTACGCAGTCATAAACTCACGTCTCCCTCTGTTGGGTCTCCAATTGCATTCTTTGAAATCGGTAAACATTACAGGTAATCCCTCTTAGGTTTGAGGTTCCCTGAGTTCAGAGTCAGTCAATCTTTGAAACAGTCATACACAGCAAAGAATTATCTTACTTTCTATATGATTTAAATGTTAAAAAGCAAATTAATAATCCCACACTTACCTCTGTAAGAGATATATTATTAAGACTTTGTTTTTGTTGTGGTGGTTGTTCGCTTTTTGAGTTTTAATGCTCACTGAACATTTCAGGAGCTAAATCATTGTGAACAATAAAGCCAGACTGTATGTTTCTTGTCTTTGGAAACATCACAGATCAAGCTCCATTTTAGAAATTGTGTTGCCAGTGGCAACCCATTTTAAATATTTGTGTCATGATTACAAACCACCTGTAGATCAGCCTGCCTTTGCACATTTTGTACTATCAGTGACACCAAATACAGGTCCAAGCACCGAATATTTTTTAGCAGGTCACTTCAAGCATTTATGTATCAAAATTCATAGTATTTTAGTATAAAATACTTTCTTTTTATTTTTATCTTAGGGGTTGAATAGTTTATTTATTCAATTAAAATGTTTTGTTATGTTTACTATTTTGCTACTTTTTTAAAAAATTTGCCTTCTTGCTCTCTCCTTTCTACTTTTACCAGTTTTCATTCTTTCTTTTTTTTTTTTTTTCCCGCTTCCCCCACCTACTTTGTTTCGGAAAAACGTAGTTATTTTTAGTACTTCATTCACTAATAGCTTGTTACCTTTATTTTATGTTTTAAAGACTCCTTTAAGGTTAACAACATTTTTTAGAAGTTACCATAGCCTTTATTTGAATAATAGTCTATCACTTTGTGTTGTTTAAGAGCATTACAATAGTATAATTTCATCCTCCCCTTTCTGTCCTTGGACTGATTATTTTCATATATTTTAATTCTATGTATGTTAAAACACCCACAATGCACTGTATTTATTTTTACTTTAAATAGTCAATTGTATTTTCAGATTCAAAAAATAAGATAAAGTGGTCTTTACATGAGAGGACTTCAAAAATTTTCCATCTGAAATAGTCATGAACTAGAGAAGTACTGGTGAAGAAAGTTTGTTTCTTACATGGCTCAGTTAAACCCTCACTGCATTTTTCTCAAAATGATATATAAGAACTTACTTTCTGTCTTACAAAAAGTAAGATGCTGCTACATATGAATGGGGATGTCCGTGATCATATTCTTTGTGTCTAGGATACTATGGTTTATTGTTAGGATTAAGATTCCTAAGACTTTGGGAGGGCTGAATATATAGTATTTCTTATCCAATAAGGGACTGAACTCTGTGAGGCTGACATACTTGGGAAGGTTTGTGTTTCAAATCTAGGAACCTCTTTGAGTGTCCATTGGACACATATGTGTTCATGATCCAGGACTGCCTCAATGCTGGGGATGAATCATGCCATTGGGACCCTCTTGGGGGTGTTGGTTCTCTCTGTACCTCTTACTTGCACATTGAAGAAATAAATAAATGAACTTTAAAAAATAAAACAGTTCTTATCCAATAGAGACCAGTAGATGGCGTAATGGTTACATTGCTAAACTCCTACATAGTTGACCGTGATTTGAGTCCGGGACCTGAGGCTTAAACTCATGCTGGGCATGTGTGGGTGCATGCCCAAGATCCCTAGAGGAGAATAGAAGAAAAATTGCCTAATGGGGATGCTTAATAAAGTTTAGATTTTATTTATTAATTTATTTTATCAGATTATAAATTCTTTGCAGGAGCAGAATTTTATTTATACTTAACACATCATTCCAGGTATATATTTATAGTTAATGTCTTTTCTCCTTCTTCACATTTAATTCATTTAAAAAAATTTATTTATTTATTCATTTATTTTAAATTGACCAGAGTTGATTGAGAGAGAGAGGGAAAGTGAGAAAGTTCGAGTCCAGGTCTAGGACTCGAACCGTGGTCGGCCATGTGGGAGTGTCCAACACGTTAACCACCATGCCACCTGCTGGTCCCCACATTCTATTCTTGCACATCTCCAAAGCACACAATATGTTTTCAAAAACATGCATCATGTTACCATCAACTCAAGGTCATTACCATATATGTCTTTTCTTTTGGAAAACACGTCTGTCAAGTACTTCCTCCCCAAACCCCTCCAACCCATCCCTGCTATCCACCCCACTTCCCTAGAATGTCTGCTATCCAAGTTTAATTTTTTTAAAAAATTGGCACAATTGGGACCAGCAGTTGACATAATGGCTATGTCGCTGAACTCCCATGTAGTCAAACCGCGGTTTGAGTCCCAGACCCAATGGCTTAAACTCATGCCGGGTGCGTGTGCGTGCGTGTCGAAGATCCCGAGAGGAGAATGGAGCAGAAGGGACTAAGGTTTGGCTATGCCCCCTGGGGTTGATTTCTCGCTATCTTTCTGTCTCTCTCTGTCTGTCTGGTGTGTACACATGCCTTCTAGCAAAAATCTCTCCAAAAAAAATAAATTGGCACAATCCTGAAGCATAGTTATTAATATTTTAAAACCATAAATGTTTGAGACAAAATTTCTGCTAAGAACAATAGCTATTTTTCTCATTGTTGAATTTTTCAGACAATCCCATCAGCTAATTTATGATCTTGTTATACTACTAATTAAAAATGTAGGCAGCTCAGAGAGTGGTGCAGATTTTATTACTGTCTAAATATTTAGAGGCAACTTTACTGAAATTAGAACATCTTAAACTCTAATCGCTTTCCTACTAGCTTTCTGAGAAAAACTAGTAAGTTAACATTAAAACACAGAAACTATTTCTAACCTAAAACTATTTTCAATTGGCCTAAGACCTGATTCTATCAACAGGCAAAGTAATAGATGATTAAAATTTGCTTTTCTTCTCCAGAGGACGGGTAGTATAGGGTATCTCTTGGTTACTTTTTCTTTCCTTTCTTTTTTTTCTGTGCATCTGTAGCCTGCGCCTTCTTTTCCGTCTCCGCGCGCATCGCTGCTTCCTTGGCAGCGAGCTCTTCCAACCTTAGGCGTTCCGCCTCCAGCAACTTGTTTCTGTACTCTTCCCGGGAACTGAGGATCTTCTGGCGGGCTTCATCTAAGGAGTCCTGTACCAAAACAAACCCCAGATAAGTTAGTTCCTCCATTTAATGTTTATAATCACAGAGAACTGCAGCTTCTTTAATCCTTTCCTTATGCTTATAAATTTATTTGAAATATTACCAAAGATGAAAGGTTGGTAAATGAAAGCATTGGGGGCGGGGGGGAGGGGAAGGGGGGAGAGAAGGTAAAAAAAAAAAAGGGCGGGGCAGCAGGTGTTGTGGTTAAGGAGCTGGATCTCACATGGCTGACTCTGTGGCTGGAATCCTAGACCTTAGGGCTTGAAAAACATGCTGGATGCCTGTGAGTTAATACCCAAAACCCTGTGGGAGAATGGCGAAGAAGAGATTGCAGTGTGGCCATCCCCAGCTTGGGAGTGATTTCTCTCACTTTTTCCTCTCTCTCTCCATCTCTGTCTTTCTCCGGTGAGTGTGCATGCCCTGTGGCAAAAAAAAAAAATCTAAAAAGAGAGGGAGAGAGAAAGAAAGAAAAATAGAGAAGTAAGAGATTTTGGCAAAGGAACGATTTGCTTTAAATGAGTTCACATACTACCTATATAAAATATTTAGCCAATGTCTCTCACATAGTAATTCTGTTCAGTAAATTACTAGTTCCTCACATGTATTCTGCACTATTTGAAGTAGAACTTTCAAATAGTACTAACCAACCCATTAGTTTTCTTTGTTATTGTCAGTTTGATTTTTGTTCTCACCACTCCAAAAAACCCTCTGCTTATCAAGGACACCAATGAACTATTCATAGCTAAATCTAACATCATTTCTTGCTTTTGTTCTTACTTAACCATGCTCTTTTCCTCTTGGATCAACTGACTTCACGTGGCTTCCTGGAAGCCATGTCCTCATAGTTTCTCTTCTGCCTCACTAGCTGCTCCTTTTAAGACACCTATGCTATTTTTTTCTCTTCTCCTTCATCTCCCCATGTTCAAGTAGCCAAATTGATTGTTTATGTTTTAAAACTAATATAAGAGAACCTTCTAGAAATGCCTGCTTTGTCTTTATCCTTGAAATCTTCAAGAGTTTTTTTTTTTTTTTCATGTCTTTGCAACTGGCATGGTTTTGTTGTAACATTGAAACAGATAAATGTCAGAATCAGACTTTCCATGAAAGAAAAGTACTGTACTTACCATACTAAATTTGGATTCACTAACCAATAGTACAAGATGATAGTTGTGATATATTTAAAAGGGAGAAATGTACAGCTTAAGAGTCTTGGATAAAGTAAGTTTAATATTTGTCAGTAATTTTTTGAGGAATGGATATGCTTTCTCCTTTCTGGAAAGAAATATGTTACTGATCATATTTCTTTCAAAGTGCTATTAGTCAAAACGAGGGTGTTTATACCTTATACTTAAATGAATGGATCTGATTTAAAGCTGTCCCCGTTAGTATTTTTTCTTTCCCTTCTTCTTCCTATTCCCTTGTCTATTAAACACATAAAGTATTAACAGTAATTGTAAAATTCTTTATTTTGTAATTTAAATTATTGCTTACATGATAAATTGAATCTATATCATTTTAATATTCATTGATTTACTGATTCATGTATTATACAAACTTTTGTCAGGCAGACAACCCTCCTAGGCTTTGTAAATCACAAATCCCTGTTCAAATATGGTCTATATTCTAGTACAGAGGGAGAAAACAATGTATGCATATTTGCTACGTATAATATCCTTACATTTAAATCAATTGTTAAATCAATAACAATAACCATACAAGATAAGTACTTAAAGAACAATAAGGCCAGGAATGATCCCATAAATCTTAAAGGAACTCATTTTAAAAAGGTAGCTAACAAAGAGCTGTCTAGTGGAGTGATAATAGGTGAGAGATCTCACAAATGAAGATACACATAATTCCCTCTCTGGAGGAAGATATTCTATGAAGAGGCAGAAGTAAGGTTGAAAGCTCAGGGTAAGAATGGGCCTGGAAGTTAGTGAAAAAGCCAAGCCTGGTTGACAAATGCAAAAAAAGATAAAAAGGAGGCAAAATTAGAGAGAAAGATCAGGAAGGAAAAAAGGGCACACCAGGGACACTGTAGAGGTCATAATCAAGATTGAGGCTTTTTTCGTGGTGACAGGTCTGAAGTCATTACATTAAAATAACCTCATTTTCCATTTTAAAGATGTTATTACAAGAACCATTAATGCAATTCAGTGACTATGTCTGGTCCTCCTCTGGGTTTGTGGTACCATTGCTTTCTATACACAGTATCACAAACTCTGTAGCTTAAACAGCAGAAACGTATGTGCCACAAGGCTTTTGACCCCTGAAGTTCAAAATCAAGGTATCACTAAGATTCGTTTCATTTATTGAAGTTGTTTGTGACCCATGTGACTTGCTTCGACCAATGACACATGAGTGGAAATGAATGTGTCATTTGTGGGCAGAAACAGTAACAACCAGTGTACAACTCACCATGCTCTCTTCCCTGTCATGATCACCATGGTAGCAGCAGCTTGTGGAACCTCCTTCAGCCTGGGCACATTAATTTATTTGATAAAAAGGACCCTCTACTGAACTGCATTGAATGTGTAGCTGGATTGAGAAATACTCTTTCATTGTTTTAATCCAGGGATTAGTAAACCATGGCTTGTGGAAAAAAAACTGGCTCATTATTGTGTGTTTTCTAAATCAGGTTTTATTTATTTAGGTATTATGCCACACACTTTTTTTTTTCCTGTGTGTTTTTAAAGGGAGAGTTGAGTATATGTAATAAATGGTTTGCAAAGAGACCCTATGGTCTGCAAATACAAAAATATTTTCTATCTGGCCCTTTATAGAAAACCCTCTGCATTAAGCCACTACAGCACTGGGGTTTTTGGTTACCACAGGATTCTGCTGGGCAGTGGGAGCAATCACCTATCTGTAAAAGATTCAATAAATAGCTTTAACCAAACTAATCCATTTCACTTTCACTTCCTAATACATCCTGTGCCACAAATTGCTAACCCTTTGATTGATTCTGGAGGGACAGAGCAAATTGGGTTTTTAATCCCTAAGAGTCTTCCTGCTGCTATTTCAAGATTACCTGTCCCAATCTGGCCTCATCCAGTTAGTTTCCAAATTCAAGATAACTCTGTTGATGTCTTCTCTTCCATTATTTCCATTACTGAGGGTAGATTTCCACTATTGCATTTTAGAGGGCTTTTAGAGAGTAAATGAAGTAAGATGTGTTTAATTGATTTGCATATTTTTGAGAAGTTGTGACTGCAGAAACAAACATTTTCAACTTCTTTCAACATGGATATTAAAGGATTCTATAATTTCTTTTTTTTTTTTTTTTGAGAGACTTTCACTGTAGGGCGCGTGCGCTCGCCAGACAGACAGAGAGAGACATAGAGACAGAAAGCGAGAAATCACCCCCCAGGGGGGATGGTCACGCCGCAATCCCTTCTCCTCCATTCTCCTCTCGGGATCTTGGGCACGCACGCACACGCGCCCAGCATGAGTTTTAAGCCACCGGGTCTGGGACACGAACCGCGGTCGACTGCGTGGGAGTCCAGCAACATAGCCATTACGCTAACTGCTGGTTCCCAGGATTCTATAATTTCTTTTGACAAAAGAATTTATCAACAGGGATTCGTATGCTTACTTTTAGTTTTATTGTATTTATCAAAGAATTTATCAGTAGTGATTCATGTGCATACTTTTAGTTTTATTGTATTTCCTTTTTTTTTTCTTTATGAGAGAGAGAAAGAGAAAGTGAGGGGGAGGGAAAGGAATAGAGACAGAGATAGAAGGAAAGGGAGAGAGAGAGAGGTATTTTTGACAGGGTCTCACTGTGTCACAATCCCCTTACCCTAGCCTCCCTGTTAGGTAGCATTACAGGCATGTGTTATAACACTCAGCATGCTGGTGGGGAGGGGAGGGCTGGGAGCAGAACCTGGACATCCCATGTGGCTTCTGGCCTCCCAAGCAAAGTGGTTCAAACATGTACTTTTAGACTCACCCGCATTTCCCCATACATATCGAGGACTTCATCTCTTAACTTACACCGTTCTTCTTGGTCAATGTCTCTTATGCTAAGGATTCTGGTTCTATACTCTCGAAATTGGTGGATTTCTTCTGCCTTTTGCATTGCCTGCTGCTGATTTAGTTCATCTGTTTGCAGCTGAGGCTCATTATTTGTTTTCCTTTATATAAAAAATGATTAAAAGAGATGCATAAATCATTTGGGAACCACGGGATAAAATTTATCTTAGAACTCAAATAATTTAACAGGATATCAACGGTGTGGTGATCTGAGTAAAATCAAACATTAGGGATAGAAACAGTAAACCATTTTTCTTTAATGATATATGTTCCTTTTATTGAGTCACCGATATTTTAGGAAACTATATATAGGACAATATCAGTAAATTCTGATGTAGCATCTGATAAGGTGATTGTGGAAATTGATGTTCCAAATTGTAGACTACTCCATTGTTTTATTTTTGAATTTATGTAGCTAAATAATTTTGACAGTGTTTTCAAGCAAATAAATATGTGTGAGTAACTATCTCTCTTACTCCAATTGTCTAGTTCTTAGGAACATTGAATCAAATTAAATTATGGCAGTGGAGATGGTGAAAATTTTCTGTAGCTCAAGTCACATTAATCAGGCTGCAAATTAAATCTTTATGAAAACATTTAAATGATTTTATGATTGACTTAAAACACATTTGCTAAATTTGAGATGTAAAATCACATACTTCAAAAAAATTAGACACACTGAAGATATACTAAGAATTTCAGGCCTAGCCTGCGGTGTGGTAGGTTAAGGCAGCTGGATTCCACGTGGCCAATTGTGTAGTTCAAGTCCCAGACCTGGCGGCTTGAAAAACATGCCAGCCACATGTACATGCATGCCACCAAATCCCAAAAGGAGGGATAAATGGAGGAGAAGGGATTTCCATGTGGCCATTCCCCATTAGGGCCGTTTTCTCACCTGTCTAGTTCTCACTCTCTCTAGAAAGTACAAGTAACCTCTGGCAAAATTGAAAAGAAAATTTAAATTTTGTTGCTTAGCAACTGTCTATTGGCAATGTATCCAAAGTTCTATAAATACAGTTGTTTGCATTAATTATGCCTATTAAAATTTACCGTATATATTGATTTAAATCCACGATTTCTAGTTCTTTCCTAATAAGTCGTGGAGATAATTCCAAAAGTGTTGGAGATCGTGAACGAGCTCCTGTTAAAAAAAAAAAAAAAAAAAAAAACTGACTCAGCATTCAAAAAATAATCAATAATGATTAACTAAGGAAATATTGAGTGTTTATTAAAATGCTGTCTTTGCTAATAATCAATTAAAAGAGGCCGTCTCCAGAATAGTAAGATAGTTCTCTCCTAGAAAATATGCCATCAATATACTGGATCCTTTTTAATAGATCAAGGGTAAAACTTACGAACATATGCAAACATTTTGGAAAAGCAATGAAAAAGTAAAAGTCAGTTACCAAAGACCACTTACTGTCTAATTCTATTTATAGGAAATATCCAGAATGGGTAAATCCATAGAAATGAAAATAGATTAGTGCTTACTAAGGGTATGGGCAGAGAGTGGGAAGAGGAATTGGTAAAATATTGGGTCTGGAGTTCCTTTTCATTGAAAATAATATTTTCTGTTAAAAAACATTGTTTGTGGAACCAGCAGTTAGTGTAATGGCTATGTTGCTGAACTCCCATGTAGTTGACCACGGTTCAAGTTCTGGACCCGGTGGCTTAAACTCACGCCGGGTGAGTGTGCATGTGGGAGCCCAATTCCAAGAGGAGAATGGAGGAGAAGGGATTGTAGAGTGGCCATCATCCCTGGGGGGTGATTTCTTGTTTTTTTGTCTGTCTGTCTCTCTCTGGCAAGCACATGCACCCTGTTAGCAAAAACCTCTCCAAAAAAAAAAAATTTGTTTGGATTTACCTAATTTAAGATTTTATTCAAGATATAATTATATAGTTATATTTCAAATTTATCCTCTAGCTGGTGTTACTACATCTATAGTTAAATGGAGGAGATGACAAAACAAAGGTACTTTTTAAAACAGTAAAAATTTTATTTTAATCACAGTTAAATGAAGGAACAGACAAAATGTTTTACCTTAAGTTATAAAATTTCACTAAAAATAAGTTAAATGATCTATTATTAAAGAGGCAAGGCTATATGTGAAAGCTATATTAAGCACTATGTGGGCTGGAATATAAACTTTGCTTTTTGAGAGAGATGTTTTGCCATAGGATAAAAATGCACTTGCCAGAGAGACAGAGAGAGAGAAAATGAGAAATCACCCCCAGTGGGGAGGGCCACGCTGCAATCCCTTCTCCATTCTCCTCTCAGGATTTGGGCACACATTCACACATGCCTGGTGTGTTTCAAACCGCCAAGTCTGGGACTTGTGGGATTCCTGCCTTACCCCTATGTCACCTGCTGGCCCTAGAATATAAACATTTTTAACACATGGTATCCTCGAGAAACCTTTACTCTAGTGAAACAGGCAATGTACAAAAGGTAGACAGCCACTTTGTGCACCATGTACAATTAAATGTAAATTTAAAATTACAAAATAAAATAGAAAAATAAAAAGGTAAACAATAAAAATCAAATAAGTAGCAGCATTTTACCAAAAGACCTATAGTGAGCCCACTAGAACAGATTTAAGAGACTCTAGAGTCTAAGTTATTATATTTTTTCTAAAAACAAGAAAAAAAAACAATGCGCAATGTACATACTATAGCATTCACCCATTCTTTTTTCTTTCTTTCTTTCTTTCTTTTTTTTTTTTGAGACTTTTTGCTATCAGGTGCATGCACTTGCTTTAGAGACAGAAAGAGACAGAGAGACAGAAAGCGAGAGAAATCACCCCTCAGTGAGATGGCCATCCTGCAATCCCTTTTCGTCCATTTTCCTCTAGGAATTTTGGACACTCACACACACATGCCTGGTGTGAGTTTCAGTTTGCCAGGTCCAAGACTCAAACTGCTGCCACCATGTGGGAGTCCAGTGATACAACCATTACGCCGCGCTGATCCCAAAATTCACCCATTCTTAAATGCATCTAATGTGATGCTTTTTTATTAAATTTACCAAGTTGTATGACCATCATCAAAATTCAGAATTCAATAAAAAAAATTGGAGAAAAATGATTTTAAATTGTTTCTATCATTGAAGTAAGAGCTCTTGTGCTATTTTACAGTTACTTTGTCTTCTAACCACAAGCTCCAGGCAATTAGTCTATATCTCTAAAGATCTGTTTTTCTTAAACATTTTATACAAATAGGAGTGGATTGCTGGGTCATGTGGTGAAATTATTTTTAATTTTTTAAAAGAAACTGCCAAATCATGATTTGATGGCTTGTATCACGGTTGATAATGTTACTATTTTAACTTTATAATCAACTTTGCAATCATTAATAAAAATCTTCCCATTGGTTTTCTTTTATGAATACTATTTTTTAATAGAGATTTTTTGCTATAGGGCACTTGCACTCACTAGAGAGACAGAGACAGGGAGACAGAAAGCGAGAGATCATTCCCCAGTGGGGATGGCCATGCTCCAATGCTTTCTGCTCTCTTCTCCTCTTGGGATATTGGGCATGCACGCACATGTGCCAGCATGAATTTTAAACTGCTGGGTCTGGGACTTAAGCCGTGGTCAACTATGTTGGAGTCCAGCAACATAACCATTACCCCATCTGCTGGTCCCATGAATACTATTCTTAAGAGTAGTTTTATGGGACCAGCAGTTAGCGTAATGGCTATGTCGCTGGACTCTCATGTCGTCAACGCGGTTCGCATCCCGGACCTGGTGGCTTAAACTCACTCCAGGCGCGTGTGCGTGCATGCCCAAGATCCTAAGAAGAGAATGGAGGAGAAGGGATTGCAGCGTGGCCATCCCCCCTGGGGGGTGATTTCTCGCTTTCTATCTCTCTGTCTCTCTCTCTCTGTCTGGTGAGTGCACATGCCCTATAGCAAAAATCTCTAAAAAAAAAAAAAAGTAGTTTTATGTTCATAGTAAAGTCAAGAGGAAGACACAGAGATATTACATATAACCTTTGCTTTAGAGATATCACATATAACTTTTGCTTTACACATGCATAACTTTTCTCTTTATCAGCATCCTTCTTCAGAGTGGTACATTTGTCATGTAGATATTATTTACAAATAATAATGGTTTTAGTTCTTCTTTCCCAACCAATACGGTTTTTTATTTTATTTTCTTGTCTTGTTGCATTTACTAGGACTTCCAACATGAAACTGAAAAGGAGTTGAAGAGAGAGGATGTCTTTGGCTGATTCTTGATCTTAGTAGGAAAGCTCCTAACAGTTCCTTACCCTTAAGTATTTTAGCCATAGGCATTTTGTACACATTCTTTATCAAGTAGAATCGTGCCATAAAAAGCGTGAATCCTCTCTCTTTCTCTTTTTATTTCTCTGTCTGTGTTTCTCTTTCTCATGGAAGAAATAAATGGATAAATATTTTTAAAAATTAGGAAATCCTGCCATTTGTAACAACATGGATTAACTTAGAGGGCATTATCTTAAGTAAAATAAGTCAGCGAGACAAAGTAACTGCATGATCTCTCTTATATGTATTATCTAAGACATTCACATTCATAGAAATAAAGAACAGAATTGTGGGGTAGTGGGTGAAAAATATTTATCAAAACATACAAATTTTAGTTAGATGAAGGAATAAGTTCTGGAGATCTACTGCCCAGCAAGATGAGTATAATTAATAATTAGTTGTATACTTCAAAATATCTAAAGGAACAGATTTTAAATGCTTTCATCACAAAGAAATAATAAATAATTAAGGGTATGGATATGTTAATTAGTCTGGTTTGACCATTCTACAATGTATACATGTATTAATTACACTGCACTGAAATCTATAAATACATACAATTATTTAACTAAAAATAAGATATAACTTTAAAAAAGATGACCTTGTTAGCATATAAATAAACAACTTTATATCAAACTTTAAATTGCATTATTTTAAAAATTGCATATATTGAAACATTTTATAGATATTTAAATTAATTAAGGATGGGAAAATGTTTGTGTCCACAATATGTGGAGTTCAGAGAACTGGGTTTGAGTCTTAGTTCTATCAAAATAGCATCTGCTTCCTGCCTTTGGGTGAGACATTTATTCCATCATTTTTAAGCAGAGATAGAAATATATGCTTTTTCTAATTCATGGAGGTGCAAGTGAGATAATACATGGAAAACCACTCTACAAAATAGATGTTAACATTAAAAAATAGGTATCCTAGTAAGTTTTAATACTGCTGTTATGTGCATTAGTATCTATTACAAGGTGCTTATTTTTAAAACTTCAGTTCAAATGTATCAGTGTCTCCTGTTTGTATAGGAAAAGCATCCGTTGAATTCTGGGTTTTCCTCTGCTCTGTGGAAGGCACTCAAGGACCTGCCTTAGCCTTAAACACTTCTGAATTTTAAAATTCTTAGAATGGTTTAGCAATTTTGATAAGAGAACTATGCTTCCTTCAAAATATTTGTATTTGCCTGGGTCTGAACAAGCAGAGAAATGAACAGATTTCAGTACTGATATGGTTTTAATTGGAGAATTTAGCTTGACGTGAGAGGCAAATGCCAGGTTCACAGACACTCAGAGCTGGCCAGCCCCTCCAGTCCACCACAGGCGGTGGTCCCTAATCGCAGCAGGCCGAGAGCTTCGTGGGCAGCCCAATCTGTTTTTCCAAATGTACCAATCAAATAAGACACAGCCCCTTCAGGATGGAAAGAATCTAGCACTTGCTTAGGGGTAATCCTTCCTCATGGAAACCATGAGTGTGGAAAGTTATTTCTCCGTAATACTTTCCATCAGGGATTCAGGTTCATTTTAGTGAACAAATACGTGAATCCCCGTAGATCAAATTAGTGTGGCCTGAAATACTTAAGCTTTGTCATAAAAAGAAAACCCATCACAGAGCATGCCATAAATTAAAGGGAAAAGAATCTGTGCTTAGTTAGAATTGTATACGTCAATGCAGACATTTTATCTTCCATATTTGTAGACATAGAAAACAATAGACCTGCTGGGGTTTTTCTTTTTCTGTGTTTTGTTTGTTTGTTTTGTGGTCCACTTGTACCTTTAGGTTAAGTTATAGTCATTAGGTTCTTGAGCAAATTACCAACTCTGTTACGTAAAATGAAGACTTGTGAATCCAAGATACATTCTTCCTACTTTTGTAACCCTAGCTATCACACATGAAGCGACGATCTTGGACAGAATTTTTTTTTTTTTTTCAGACTATCTGCTACTTCTTTCCAATGGCAGGAATACTTACTGACATTTTCCTTGCGCATGCTTTGCTCACGCTCTTTCTTCCCCGGCCCACCTCCCCCT